ACCCTACAGGTTAACGGCGCACACAAGTGTGCCAGCACTTGGCGGTAACGGTGACGGTGACGACCTGTACGCCATCAATGCACTTAAAGATACTTGGCTTCCGACTTATATTTCCGTTTTATCGTGGTTTTTTTTTTAAATTTTAACATTGAAAATGTGTGGTTTAAAAATCAATTTGATTCTTGACAATCGATTTTCCTAAACATGTGTCAGTTGAAAACGAAATGGATCAAGTATTTTCAGCTCTGTGAATAAAATACATGCAAATAATATGCACATTATCTTTTAACATTATTAGTACATGTTAATGTCATTCTTATCCTTAAAGTAGTTTTACATTAGTCTAAAGTATTTGTATTTACACAAAGTAATATACCCAAGCTACCACTAGTTACCGTTATGAATAATATCTAATATAAATATTATGAACTAGCTTTTTACCCGCGGCTTTGATCGCATCAATTTAAAAACATCATCACTGATTCTTGCTAAAATTAGCAAATTACATCACCTGTGGAATCACCTCGGTATCTGTGTCTGTATGTCTGTATTTCACAAGAATTACATTGTAACCTATACATACAAGAATGCGAAGTAAGTTTTTCAGAATTGCATGATGCGTTTTATATCTATAAAGGGTAAATTAAATCTGAAGCTAGATGGGCTAACATCTTAGTCCCCCCCTCCCCCTCCCCCGACCATGGGTTGCTGTAAAGCACCCGAACCGCCGGGAATTTAAAATATGTAGGTAAATTAAACGCGGTAAAATCCGTAAACATAGTTTAAATAAAAAAATACTTATTTTAAACATATTGTATTCATTTCAAAGAATACTACATTATCTCCTTATAACAAATGGAAACGTTAAAACCATTATAAAAATTAACTTTTGAATAGAAGAAAAAAGAGATTTTTATCCGGTTCTTACCAATAGAAAGATTTAGGTCATAGTTTATCAATATTCTTTGAAAATTAGCTAATGTATTGATGAAATATTATGTCGATTAAGGCGGAAAAGCCTAACGTAAGCCATGGGATTGAAGGTCTCATCTCTTATATGCATCATCAATAAATGTTCGTGACGTTATATGTTTCTAAGTTGAATAACTCCCAATAACAATAACGAAGCCTTTAATAACATAGATAATAAAAGTTATGTTTATGTTAGTAATTAGTGAAAAACTCCCATCGTATCGTTACTAACTATCCTTTTAGGTGTTTTCTCTGTTTTAAACAGTATCTACGTTGCTGGTGATAGCCACTTGTACAAATTCTTATTATCAGCGATATAAAGACCGACAGTTCATTTGACCGGAAATGCTAGTGCTGTCCGATTTAAGTCGAGGTTGACCGCTAGTACCTTTATAAAGACCAAAACGTGAATTGGATGTCATTTAAATATTGTCATTTAAGTTTACATAATTCGTGCTTGAGACTTAGTGGAATAAAATAACTTCCAATTCGTTAGATGCACGAGGGATACGATGATTATATTAGATGTCGGACTGATGCCTGTTTTACTATTTTAATGAATAGATAAACTCCGCGCATTGGTATTTGGTCGTCGCCTTTCAAAATATGATAGAAGTATCTATGGAGTTAAATCTTAAATGCGTAGTTCTACCGTTACAATTTCCAAACATACTCTAATTTTGGCCATTGACCGGTGCACATAAATAAGCACATACGTGTTTATTAAAAAGACAAAGATTAACATCATTTCGGAGGATCGTTCGTGTCTAAAACTTATTCTTACATCTTCGATTTATATTTCATTTATAACCTTATTCTTAACCACATTAAGGAACAAGATGCCATATTATCAAGAGTGGGGACACGTCGTAATAGTAAATTTAAATTCAATTCGTGTAACAGTGAGTCATACGTGATTTTGTATCGCATTGACCTACAGACACTTATAAATGGGGTCTATGGCCTACAATATCCCTACATTTGTTAATCGCACACACACACACACACATATACATATATATATATATATATATATATATATATATATACATAGGGCTTATATATATATATATATATATATATATATATATATATATATAATACAGTATATAAATAGAGTGTAGTGACAGATTTTAAAATAGTCAATTATACGGAGTAACCTTTGCATACGTTGTCCGTTTAAAAGAGGTAGTAAGGTTTCTAGAAGAGCATTACCTTTACTCAAACCATCTCCGTCAGTAGGGATGTTGAGATGAGAAGATAACTAGCGCAGGTCTAAAAATTTAATATGGTATGAGAGAGTGAAATCTGGAAAATCGAAATCTGACTTTTCGTGGTAAGAAAAAGATCATTAATTGTGCTAATTGCTCTGATTATTAAAGCACACACATCATGTGTTTCAGGGAAATGCGGATTCCATGGATTTCACGATATCGCTAGGGATACCAGTACCACGAAGTCACGGTAGATGTCGAATATTCTTGCTTGTTACTGCTTCTCACTAAACATGTCTAGTGATATGACAAAATACTAATGTAATGTCACTGAACAGTCGTTTCACTAAACTAAATATAGTAATATGTTGAAAAAGCGGACACTAGAGAATAATATTTGAACCATGCGTTGTCACGCTCATTTAATGTTTGTTTTAACCTAGTTCTGTGGATTATTTAGGTTAGATTGTTTGGGTTAAGGTACAACACTATCCTTATTTTACTAGATTTAGTTTAGTGAAACGACATATCGTTAAAAATTTTAAGTTAGAACGTAATAAACTAGAATATTCGATATATTCCGTGATTTCCTATTTTTCCTATTTCGTGAAATCTCTGATATCCTCATTTCACAGCGATTTTATTGCGGAAATTTAATGAAATTAAAATTAAGTGCAAGCAACATTTTGAAATTTAGCAATTGTTTTACTATTTTCGACATATTACATATTTGTAATTATGACATATAATCATAACATATTGCCGAAATGAATAATACATATAAAGTGGCTATTGTTCATTTCCGCAATATGAAACATGTTTCTTTAACCGGTAACGGTTTCAAGAGTATCGATCACCTTATGACTGCGGAGCACTATTTAATTATTCTGTCAGTACAATAGCACGATGCCGACAGGTGGCCAGTACAGGTGTCATTGTGCTCAAAACTGGGTCAGAAATGAAATTATTGTAACCGTCCTAGCATCTCATCCGCCCGCAACACTGAGGAATATGTTTTATTTTTATTTTGGACGGCATCTACAACAGCATATTTTTTAAATCTATAACTGCCTAACCAATACAACAATAAAATTATTTAATTCTAGTGGAATTAAATAATTTTATTGTTGTATTGGTTATCGTTTTATTGGTATTTTTTTACTCAATTGAGCTTTACATATTACGGTATAATTTTGTAAAATACCTTTTCCCTTTAATTTGTATAATATTTTAATTAGAACAATTTATGTCACGTAGTTGAATATATGTAATTAAATAAAATATTTATCAATTGTTCACATAATATTTATTCTAAAATATAAGGCAACTAAAGAGATACTAAAAACTTATAAAAAAATTGAGTTGAACTTAGAAGGGCTCGTTGACATACGATAACTTGTATCCTTGACTATCTTCGTTGTGACTTTAAATTTTAACAACATATTTTATTTATACAATCAATAACTATATTACAATAACTATAATCATTTTAATTTAGTCAGATTTGTAGTTAATTTAAAGATTTAAGTTTGGGTAAAATTCTACTGCTGGTGGGTTGCCACATGCCCCAGTACGCTAAGACCTTAGACATACTCTAAGGCGTAAAACAATATATTATGTCGGTTTGAAACTCTGTGTTCCCGTGTCCCACTCCCACTGCACTAAATCAAAATAAATACAAAAATAAATGCTTCGAAAATTAACTGGTTCGTTGATTAACTTTTGTGCCGACTTCAAAAAAGGAGATGTTATTCAATTCGACTGTATGTTTTTTTATGTGTGTTACCTCATAACTTTTTACTGGGTGAACAGATTTGGATGATTACTTGTTTATTTGAAAGCTGGTACTTCTCGTGTGGTCCCATATGATCAAGGTCAGACCAATAGCTTTTGAGTTATTCTTAATAACTGATATTGAAGTCGGCTGTACAACATTTTAAATTTTAAATTATCTACGATATTAAATGGCGGTCCGGTCGGTGGTGTGGCTTTTATGACAACCCTACTCTACTGTGACGTTTACTATTGATACTAAACGTAGTGATTAAATAAATACTCTTTATTTGATACTGATTTGCGAGCGATACTTCATACTCTAATTTTATCTCACGTTGATTCATTGAATTTCAATTACTGGGAACCCTTACATTTAAAATTTGCGAGTGGTTTAATGTAAAGTATGAAACGCTCAATTATTTTGTTATTTGTGTACATATTTAAATTATCAAGTGTTAACGTCATATAAATTTATATTTAGTATTAGCTTACACGCTTGCAAATGAAGCGAAATTATATTATGTCTAAGAATATTTTGAATATTATGTATAATTCCTGCCATTGGAACAATCATGAAAAGACGCTGTCTCGCACTGCAGTTATCACATAGGGCTTACACCGCAGAAAGTTTCTGAACAGAGAGAGCCGTGGGAGTAATCCACAATGAATCTTCCGCTTTTTCGACTCCATTCACGGCTCATGTGAAGTGATTTCTCGACGACGATGAAAGTAAAAGTGGGTCAACATAAACAAAGTTTTCGTGCGGAAACAGCGATGCGAACGCGACGTTATTATGAAGTTTCTCGTAACATCCGATCAATAAACGATCGACTTGTTAATTGTATGTTGTCTCATAAATTTGCCTTAATTATTATTCTAGAAACACTTAACTACGCTTATCATACTATAACTACATTTATTTATTATGTTAAGTTAATGAAAAAAGTTAATATTATTCACCAAACAAAAATATTGATATAGTACGAATTGATTCGAAAATAAAATGTTTTTGTACAAAGAATTTTAATTTGTACTTACCACAAAATGGAATACCCTCAGGCGTCCATCTTCCATTGGGCCCGCACAGTCTACGGGCGGGACCCAGCAGTTCGAACCCTCTTTCGCACGTGTAGGATGCGATGGTACCGTCTGTCAAGTTCTGATTGGAGAAGGAGACCCGGGAGTGGGCTGGCGCACCAGGGAAACGACACGTAGCTGCTGCATAGCCTGTATTACAAAATAGTTTGTGAGAAAATTTTTATGGAGACATCAGGTAAAATTATCTTTGATAATAGGATTAGGTAGAACTGCAAGAAACAGGGTGAAAAATATTATGCTATCATGATTATAGGCCTTTATTTTAACAAATCTAAAAAAGGTCGTTAAAGAAGGCCCCGTCACTACTTTTTTATAGTACTCCTCGATCCTGACGCCCCGTATAGGCTACAATTTTGTCAGTGCCTCCCGCTGTCGGCTGTTATTGTAAAAGTTTTATAATAATTGATGCAAAATCTTATATATAGATGGCAATTATCTACAAATTTTACTTTAGGCCCACTATAAGCGGGAAAGTTTTTGTTTCGCCAGTTTGAAATCGCGCGCAAACAGACTACCAAAAAATGACTACCCGTGGTAAGTTTTAAACTATTTTTAGAACGAAGTTCCTTATCGGACGGTACGCGTTTGGCGGATGGGAGCTAGGCGACAAAAAGTGTAAGATTTTTTCGTCACTACCCCTTGTGTCATAGTGTAGACAGCCTTGGCGGCAAAATAAGGAAGTGAGATAGAATAATATTCATCTCCCTCGCACTTTTTCTTATCTTGCCATGAAAGAAATATTATTTTATTTCAAATGACGCTTCATTTTAATAGATGCTAGTAATTCATTTATTTGTATTTGTTAATCAATAATATAATACCTACGTTTATCAATAATACGAGTAATATACTACGCTTAGATTAATGATAGGTCTTTGCGCCGTCAGAGCGCGCGATGACCTACGAGATTATTAATCTATGATACTACGCAAGGAACTTCGTTCCAACCGAGTGTTCCACGACACTCACGCATTTTTTATTGGAATAACGCACGTTTCTTTTTGCTATATATTATGATAATGAGGTTACTGGACAAATAGTGAACACATCTTTTCGTATTTCGATAAATGATATGACCGTACTGATTCCTCGCTCGACAACCAGTTTTGGCCTTTACATATGTATTTAATAAATACATTGTGGTTAAAAGTTTCTTACTATTTTCTAGCCTTATCTTCAGAACAGATACAGTCGGCTTTAGAGTTCGGAGATGATGACTCAATCATCGAAGGCATTTCCGACGACGAGGACTTGATCTCTCTTACTGCTCACGCAGAAACCCTTCAAGAAGGTGAAGAAAGCTCTAGTAAGTATTCAAGTGATGACGAGGTACCACTCTCCACATTTTTGCTCCTCAGCCTCCTCAAATGAATCGTCGAATTTATTGGAAGCGCCTAGACGACTTCACGCCATCTCCACCCGGAGTTTATGGTCTTCCTCTAGCAGCCAGTCATGTTAGAATATTACAAACACCGTTTGAATATTTTATCAGATACATACCTGAAGAAAAATTCGACATATGCAACTCCTTTTCAAATCAAACTTATTTATATAAAACAGGGAAGACCTTAGGCACGACAAAAGATAAAGTGAAAATCTTTTTTTGGCATATGTATCGCCATGAGCTATTTGGGTAAGAATTATAATGTATTGGATGAATAAAACTAGGATCCCAATGATATCTCATCTATCGAGGATAAATGTAGATGTAGATTATGGATCGTTTTTTTTTTTCGGATAAGGACAAACCTGAAACTAGTGAATGATCTTAATGTCGATACGGCTGCCAAACAAAATAAGTTTTGGAAAGTGCAACCCCTAATTGAAACGGTATGAAAGGTTGCATAGAAAATCCCAGAAAGTCAGCATCGATGAACAATTAATACCATTATGGGGCCAAGTATCAATGCGGCAGTTTATCAGGGGAAAACCAAACCTGTGTGGGCTGAAGAATTTCGTTTGTACCAGCCCGGATGGTATACCCTTAGATTTTTTCTTGTATGAAGGTGATAGCATACTACCGACTGGTGAAGCTGGAGGTCTGAATATTGACGGAAAAGTCGTAATGAGATTGGCTAATAACTTATCTGATGATTCCAAGCTATACGTGGATATTTATTTCACATAAATTGAGCTGTTAGACAAAGTATACACAGAGAACAAAATGCAAAGAACAGGCACTCTCAAGAAGTCAAAAATCCCTAAAGCAATTTTAAGACTGATAAGCAGTTAAAAGATCAGGGACGCGGTTCATCTGACCAATTAGTAAGGAATTATGGTCTAATAGCTTCTTTGAAGTGGTTTGACAACGAACCAGTAGTTATGGCATCATCTACAGATTCAAAGTTACCTGAAAACAAATGCAGTCGTTGGTGTAAGAAGATGAAGCAATACATCGAGTTTAATAGCATTTATGCTATTCAGCAATATAACAAACATATTGGGTAGTGAACATGCTGGATAGAGTTATTAGCTTTTATAGAATAAGCATACGCTCAAAAAACTGGACGCATCGATTGATATTCCATTTATTTGATTTTGCAGCAGCTGCAGGATGGTTGTTGTACCGGAAAGAAGCCCAAATGTTGGAGACTCCTAAAAACCACACTGGGTTATTTGGAGTTCAAAGCTGAAATAGCAAATTCTTTGCTCTATTTTACTCCAGCAAGAGAGCAAATACGACTCTAATCCTTTTTTTTTATTACCTTTTTTTTTAAAAATTTTGTAAATCACGACATCCATCCTCATCTTCATACCCCATTTTACTATATAAAATTGTAAATATCTTTTAAATCTTAAATATATTATTTGTTTTTGTAGAATTTTTGTTGTGTTGTTGCTCTTAGGTTAGTTTCTTTTTGTTCTTAATTGTCGCTTCACGACAGTATGCCTATCAAAAATTGTTTCAATATCTATCAAAATGACACCTCAGGACTAAGGAGGAGGGTGACAAAAGAGAATACAGTCCATCTGATGTTAAGTGGATATTGTATAAAGTCCATAAAATTTTTAGGTTTGTATATTCTGCAAGTTGTATTTTGCTTTCAAATGCACAGTAATACATAAAACATAAATATCTAATATAAACAAGTACTAGATATAAAACAAATGCGTTTTTTGGCTTTGTTATACATTCCACAGACTATTAAATAAGAAACATTTGAAATCACATAAATTTCACAGTTCATTCCCTCATTGAGTCAACCTATTGATCAGTAATTATTTGTTGACAACATTTGAAAAAAAATTGGTAACAATCTCTACTCAGTACGACTGTTTGACCACAGACTATTAAGTGTTCGACATTGGCCTAGGAGTAATTACATACATAATATGATTCTACTTACTCTGAGACATTACCATTATGAACTCTCTGTGTTGTTCAGAGCATGATCATCAACAGAAGGACGATATATTTTTTTTCCTAGTTTGGAAACTTCCAATGGATGGACAATATATGTCCAAGTGACAATAATGTGTTTGACATTGGCGATATAAACATAAACAATGTTTGTTCTATTTATTTAATTTGAAGTCTTTATAACTGTGTGTTTATGCACCTCTTCTCTATATAAACTTTAAGTATGCCGAATATCACTCTCCACTGTGCGCGTAATATGCTTAAAAAAGGGCACAAATTATTCCTTTCACGCAACAATACTAAATTACTTAGATATAAAACTGATGTGTCTGTCTGTAATATCGAAGAAACTGCCTCTTATTGCCTTTTAAAACATGAGTAACTATTTGTAAAATATTTGTTTGTCAGTCTGTTCGGGTTAATTCTCAGAATGGCAGAACCGATTATAATGATACTTCTCGAACAGATACAGGGCAATGCTATGAGTGATCTAGGCTATATATTTGATCCCAAAAAATAAGGTGGATTTTTTATTCGAATAAAATACATATGATGAAATAAACGGTCTTTGATAATTATATTAAATCTAGATAACGCGACGTTAATAGATCCTATCCAGGCGAAACCATGGCGGGTTGTGAAAAGTATAAATTGAAACTGTAATTAATAAAAACAGAGAAATCATCATCACCCTTACAATTCCTTACATTTGCACCACTAAATTCAAAATCGATCAGAATATACATTACATTAATATACATAACAATACAGAATATGCATTTAAAAATTTATTTCTTTAATACTTAAAAAACACTAGAAAATAAGTGATACTAATGCTATGAAAATTCTACGATGGTTGTAATCATGGTCATTTAATTTAATTGTAATAAACAGATCATAGTTAATTGAGATTTCTTTTAATTCTACTTTATATACTTGTTATTCGTTAGCATTTAAAACCATATTTGTTTCTTATAATTCTTTAATAATTATTACATTTATAACACCATGTATTAAAAAGAATAGGTGTGATGGGTCAAGGGGTCGCTCAACACTGCACTTGCCACTGGAGAACCTTTCTTCCCATTCGTTTGTCGGTTCTACGAGCTATATGTCTGGTCCATTGCTACTTCAATTTACTGCGCAAGGTCGGGCGACCTTCCACTAGGTGGAGTGTCGACATGATGAAGCACGCAGGCGGGTAATATGGACGCGGGTAGCTCAGTCTACTTGTGGCAATCTATGGAGGAGTAGTAGTAGTAGTGAATGGGTAGAATAAGTAGATATATCAACATTTTACCATATTTAGTTTGATTTCATGGACTTGTTCCTGTATGAGGCAAAGACCATTAAATCACAACGTTTTAGTTCTAGATGTAAATTTTCTTAGCAGCGAATACTACAAGAGAGAATATAATATTATTAAAAATAGATTACTAGCTATTCAAAGAGTATATAACCACTATGTTTTATATATATTATCTATTGATATATGCAAACATATGTTTATATGTCGGTTCTTCCGAGTGCCTATAACCTAAATATCTTCAAGGTTAACATGCTTCTCCTGGGCAAACTCGCTCCATCGTATAGACCTCATCTTTGAAATCGGGCTAGGTTGAGGTCAAGAGTGAGCCTAGTTTAGTAATAATAATAATAGTCTCTCTTTAAACTGTGATGCTATACTTAATTCATTACAAACCTTCACAACTCCACTGCGAATATCGTCATTTTTACCGACTTCAAAAAGTAGCAGGTACTCAATTCGACGATATTTTTTTTATTTGTAACTTTTTCTAGGTAAATCGATTTTGATGATTATTTTTTATTTGCAAGCTGTTACTTCTCACGTGGTCCCATATAAATTGATCAAGGTCTGACCAGCAGTTTTTGAGATATCCTTAATGATTTATATTGAAGTCTGTTGTACAATTTTTTTAATTATGCCCCTTATTAAGTCTATCACGCAGAGAAACCCTGAGCATACCTTCTCGATAGCTCGCTGAGCAATCTTGAGCTTCCTTATACGAATATATATAATATACTCTGTAGATCATTTTAAATATATTTGAGAGATATTTAAATATATTTGCACGTGGTAAAGCCACCAGTAATATAGCTGCAGCTTGGCATTTCATTCAGCCATTCATGCTACAACTATACCTAGTTGTAGCACGAATGGGTCGGCTCGACCGGGTAAGAATCATGCTCTCACAGAATAGCAGCTTAAAAAAGCAGCTTAACCCTGCTGTGTTTCGTATAGTGAGGATAGAGAACCGGAGACCCTTTTTACTGGAATCGAGGCATTCAATCTTAGTCCTCACGGGTGACAACGCATCTACATTTTGATTCGTAATCGAGGATAAATGTAGATGTCTATGGGTCACAGCAACCACTTACCATCAGGTGGACTGTGTACTCGTTTGTCATCCTCATCCTATTAAAAAAAGATATAGGCACTCTTTGATGGACACTAAAAAAGTACTCTGTGATGGACAATGGACACTTTGTGAATGACCAAAGAGAATATAATCACTACAGGAATGACATTGAAAGTCATAATTTGTATTATGTTAGGTCTTCACAATTAAAATTGATTTTAGTATATTATAATGAACGTATCAAATTCTATACTAAGTGAAGATGTAGGCGAGACAAGAATATATTTACTTCTTCTTCGTTTAAGTACACTGATGATCTTGGTGTCATTGCTAACCATTCACATCAGATCGATGCGAATGTTTCGCTGGGAACAGTCAGTGTCAGGAGGTTTGATAATAGCCTATTGCATTGCTGAGCTCGGGCTTACTTTATGTGCGGGAACATCGCACTGTAGTGGCTATGCTTTGCAGGTAAATTAAACAGCAATTTAATCATACCAAATTTCCATAAATTAAGCACTTCTCGCCAATTTTATAAGATTGACAAGAACCAAATTTCCTTTATCATTTTCTAATTTATTGCCAAAGGCTGCTTAAAGTTTTTAAGAATGCGTTACGAGCAAGCCTGTAGGCGTTAGGTGGCCATCCCAAATAGATCTACCGACATACTTTTGTCGCTAGTCTTTTTCGTTAGGAGGAGAACCAATTGCAGTTAAGATTACAAGGTGATACATGCAACTTATACCCCTGTCATAATTCACATGATTTGAATTTTAATTTCAATTTGAACAACAATATAAGCAAAGTCTGGTTAAAGATAATATATATCATCATCATTACAGCCCTTCACAAGTCCACTACTGAACATAGGCCTCACCCAAAGAATGCCACAAAGCACGGTCCTGAGCCACCTGCATCCATCGACTTCCTGCATATCTTACCAGGTCGTCACTCCATCTAGTGGGGGGACGCCCTACACTTCGCCTGCCGGTACGAGACTGCCACTCGAGAACCTTTCTTCTTCATCGGTTGTCGGTTCTTCGAGCTATATGGCCGGCCCATTGCCACTTCAGCTTACTAATCCGTTATATATATATAAATATATAAAAGCTTCTGTAAGCATTTTCATTACTTCCAGGCATACCTATGCGGATTGGGCGCAGCCTTACTAGCGGTAAATGCTGCAGTTATTTGGCAACTGTGGAAGAGATCCAACCAGATCACTCTCGTGGTGGCAGAGTTATTAGATGCAATAGGCGTGCCTTTGAAACGTCAGGTCATTGTCAAAGTAACACTAAGTGCTACGGCGGCTGCTGGATTATTGGTCGATCTCGTGCTTGCTCCATACTTTACAAAGCACCCTCGTTCCTTAACATCGTTGTAAGTTATTTGTTATACGTTTTTAAATTGTTAACAATATATTAAAGGCGACAAAATGTCAAAAATAGAATATTAAAGTAGAGTCTTAATTGCAGTTACACTATCCACTATTGAACACATATACCACTACATAAGCCAACATGCACATGCTATTATGCCCAATGTGCAACTAATAATAATTTAATCAAATATAATAGGTTGCAGAGTCACACCGGATTACGATACGCGGATTCGAATCAACGATCCGTGATCAGATAGATAATCAGTTGCTCTGACCATAGAGCTTCTTTGTCGTCTACTAAATAAAGGATGCTCAGTAACGGGTAACAGTTACTAAAGGAATAGTCGATCTACTTTTCTTGATAAGGTTTATGTATAAAAGATATATATTTATAATGTATTACAGAAATATTTACAAATATGTATGTAGTCTATGTATGTATATGTAGGTATATGTATGTGTGTATCTATATATGTGTTTGTACGTTTATGTGTATATAATATTATGTATTTGGTTATTGCATTGTCTTATATACTAATATACCTTGTACTATTAATATATACTTGTTTATCTACTATTTATGCACACTTCTATATATTTAAATGAAAATTATCTCCTTCACCATGGTTTGCCTGGAAGAGAACGCTGTTTAGCGATAAGGCCACCTAATTGTACATTCATTTATAAATTTAAGTTTGCTGTGTTGTGTAGTATTTTGTGTGCAATAAAGAGTATAAATAAATTTAAAAAAGAATAAAGAAATATGCCATGAATTGGCGGCGTAAGAGAATAGTAAATGTCATAAAATGTATATTATTGTTCTGAACATAAAAATGTAAACGTTATGAACCTCTCAAACAACCCCAATGATATAGCGAAAGTCGTGACTCAGTAAGGCATTGCATGACGAATTAGTTAAAGCGTCAACGGTGTTCGAATATCCGTGAAACATTCTAAATTTAAATTATTCCATGATTGAAATGATCCGTAGCCGGCGCTAGCCGCGGCGAAAGTGTGCCTTAAAATGATCACTCGACCCTTACTCAATACCTAATAAAGTGGTGGTAGCCCTATCGATCACTTTGCGAAGATGCTTCAGTAATATAATATTGTTCTAAAAAAATCCTTTACCAAAGGTAAAAAATTTAATATGTATGCTTATAATTTATTGCAATCTTGGAGTAAACCTTTGGCCACGTGCTCTGGTCAACTTAAATTTAGAACGGACTAGGTTAGCGGAGGCGTACATAAAATAAAACCTACACCAAATAAAATTATTCTTATTTAAAAGTACATCCATAAACAATAATGAATTCCGATATGCGCATAAACTTGAAATCTAAAATTTTACATTCTATCATATTGACTAAAATATTTAGTCCATTTCATATGATAAATAATATAAATTCCGCCGTCCATTGGCCCGCGGTCAAGAAATTAAGTGAAAGTTGAGGGGAGCGTGTCTCGGCCACCTCTGCGAGTATCACCTTTACATTGTTTCATACTTTTCCTCCATGAGAGTATAGTGTAGTGACGACAGAACAGGTGGACAGAGTAAGCAAACAGGTGCCTTTAAAGTTAGTTTCTGGGAGGATGTGGTTGTTACTTTTTCATTCACGCAGTGCCGATGAATGATTATATAATAGAAGAATAGAATGAATATTTGATGACAGATTAAGCGAATTTATTATGAGATTCAAAATTAGAATTTTTTGTGTCAATGGGTTTAAAATATAGCACAGTATACCAGTTATCAAAAACCAAATGATAATAACTGTACTTATTTGCAACGGAGTATCTTGTAAACATAGCTACGCGATTACTTAAGCTAAGAAAGCGTGGTGACCTCAACAATGTTACGGGCGCAGCCCTGATTCGCAAGCACATCTCTTGAAAAATACATTTTTACAAATGAAGAACGGCTATAATAATATTACCAACTTTGTTGTTAACGTTTAAAGATATTATTTAAGAAAAATCGTGTATATAAAGCCGGCCAGAGAAGTTAATGGTCATAGAAGACCTATTCGAACATGAACAGAGTTTTAAGTATTTACATGGGTGCAAATAGTGAGAAATGTTTAATGTTTTTTAAGAACTATTAGAATAACAAATTTCAGACAATACTAGAATCAAATTAGATATATATAAATACGAGTATACTCTGTTCGGCCTACATGAATAACTTGCTAGAAAACGCACATCCACTCAAACTTTCTACCCTAAGGCAATTCATTCAATACCGTATGTAAGCATGAAAATATACTCAGTAGGTCAGTTCAGTACAAGTTAATTTACTTAACAATTCAAAGTGATTGCAAAGTTCTTCTGTTTCGGTTTATAATAATTATTTTTTTAAACATAGTTACAATTGTTTCTTTTTATGCCACTAATGAAAATTAGTCATAAATCTAGTTATGACTAACTAGATTTATGACTTAAGAAACGTTCTAAAAAGTTATAAATTTAAAATAAAACAGGTTGATCATTTTCACAGAAAAGTGCGAAAAGTGTCCATTCCAGGTATATACGAGTACCTCAAAATTTTAGTTAATAAAGACGAATTAAAATTTAATATATATATACATATATATGTATATATAATAATTTTATTACGTGGTAGAGCCATGCTGCAGCTATATTAGTAGTATAGTTGTAGCACGAATGGGTCGGCTCGACCGGAGAGGGACCACGCTCTCACAGAAAACCAGCGTAAAATAGCAGCTTAACGCTGCTGTGTTTCGTATGGTGAGTGTAGAGAACCGGAGACCCTTATTACTGGCAATGAGGCATTCCATCTTAGTCCTCACGGGCGACAACGCATCTGCATCTTGAGTCATTATTGAGGATAGATGTAGATGTCTATGGGTCACAGTAACCACTTACCACCAGGTGGACTATGTGCTCGTTCGTCACCCTATCCTATTAAAAAAAATATCCAAAATTAGAGTAATGCAAAATGAATTTTTTAGGGTGTAGCAATATAATCCAATCATCATATTTTTAATCGCTGGGTGCGAGCGAAAAGATTTATTTCTTTTAAACCGCCGCACTCTCAGCACGCTACTGAATGCCAAGCCACACACACATATATATATATCTATACCCATAAATAAAATTGAAGTGTCTGTTTGTAATGTCAAAATAACAGGTTTTTATTAAATGCATATGTAATTATATAGGTTACTTATATCAAAAACACATTTTTTTAAATTTTTGTCTGTCTGTCTGTTTGTCTGTTTGTTCCGGCTGATTTCCGACAAAAACGGTGTAGGAGTTAAGTTACCATTCGAGAGCCTTTCTTGCAAATCGGTTGCCGATTTTTTGAGTTTTATTGGTGGCCTATTGCCACTTTAGTTTACTTATCCGTTGGTGTTAATCGGTTACTCAGATATTACCGCGGATCGTGATTCTATCACATAAAAACTCCGAACATAGCTTTCTCTATAGCTCGTTGTACAATTTCAAACATCCTGGCCATGACCGTAGCCAACAGTGAAGGACCACTTTTCAGTTACATATGTGATCACTGGCAACACGTATACTCTTGTTTCGGGTTCTGGGTTAAGGAAATTGGTCGAATATCTCAAGTTATAAAGTTCTATCCAGTTTATTAATCGAATTGGATGAATATTCGATTTCACGCCCTAGTTGTCACCGCTGACGACTAAGATGGAATGCTTCAATGCCTGTAATTGTACTGCCTTCAATACCCTTCATACCAGAACAAAGAAGTAGAATTATTACTGATGTTTGGTGTCAGAAATAGGTAAAGTAAGCCCAGATGGCTTCGTGGCGCAGTGGCTTAGCAATGAGTTGCAGAGCTAAGTGCCGCGGGTTCGAATCCCGTTCGAATTGTACCGGATCTGAACGATGTTCTGGTGAAATGTATGCATGTAAACTGCCCCCACGATACAGGAGAAAATTCTAGTGTTACATTTTTAATAAAAGGAAAATAAACGAACTCCTAGTCAGTATAGGAGTCGAACATCTACGTTGACTGATAAACACGCTATAAAAGTGTTCAGATCTTAATGGTGCCAAACGCAATCAAGGCGGCATAAATAGGTAATTACAAATAATCTATACAAATAAATAAAAATGAAGTGTCTGTTTGTAATGTTAAAATTACAGCTTTTTGCTAAATGCATATGAAAGTATATACGACACTAATAACAAAAATACAATTTTTAAAGTTTTGTCTGTCTGTCTGTCCGTCTGTCTGTCTGTCTGTTTGTTCCGGCTAATCTCCGAAACGGCTGGACCGATTTTGATGGGATTTTCACTGGCAGGTAGCTGATGTCACAAGGAGTAACATAGGCTACTTTTATCTTAGAAAAAGAATTAAGGTTCCGAGCAAAAAAAAATTAAATCTCCAAATAACACGCGGGCGAAGTCGCGGGGAACAGCTAGTATGTATATATAGGTAATATATTAATGTTGTCCAGAACCTCCCTTAAACCATTTTGCCTTTTGCTAGGTGATAATATACGAGGTATTTTTTTTTCAAGCGATGGTCACATTTGTCTTTAATCATTTGTGTGTGATTCACGTCGAAAACACTATGTATACGGACATACGTACTCGTATAATTGGTTCGAAATTGGCAGCACAAGCATTACTAGTAAAAGTTTTTAGAGACAACGTAACGGCCTACCTGTAGCAACCGATCACATTAACCTACATAAATTAACAGTCTCTAAGAAAAGAATTTCACAATGTTATAGTAAGCTTTTAACATTCTTTACATTTTTATTTGAATTGTTTTTTATTAAGTTTTACAATTCAATCTTTATTTAAGTTTTTTTTTTAATTATTTGATTCCTGTGCTGTGAAAATATTGTCGTCCAGTGATCGGCAAGTGGTTATATCTTTTTGGTGATCGGCACTACACAGTACACAGCCCATATTAGCCAGATATTATAACTGATAAGTGAATGCTGTGGCTCATAGACGTGTACACAATAGGGGCATTAATGCCTTGACTCCAAAAGCTATTGTGT